TCCTGAATGGGCAGCCACTGACTGGACCGGGTTCATTCTCGTCCAGTCCAAAGAGGAAACCAATCCCACGCTCATACAGTCACGAGTTCCGAGTTCACGGCGGTTCTTCTCGAGGCTTACTCGACTCTCGGTGTCAATGTAGATCACTCTCGCCGAAGGTGTCAGACGAGTGTGTGAAATAGGTCCCGTATGAGCGGGTGGGCCTGGTTTTCAGCGCCGAGGTTGGTCTTCACAGTACCGTGGAATCGATGCGTGTCTGGAAATAACCGCCCCCCCCCACTGCTCTACGACGTCTGAAGTGAGATTGATAGGGTGGTGGGTATTTTCTGGTCCCGCGTCTTCCACCTCAGAAACCCTTAGTCGCGCGCATGCATGTCATAGGACTGGCAAAAAGGGTGATGAACCTAGGACAGATGGATTTTGGATGCGTCATATTCTGGTGCGGTGGTCGACAAATTGGCCTACGTCGTCTTCTTCTTCGATCTTCCCTTTTTGGCTGTTGTTGAAGGTGTAGCTGGAATAGGTACGGTCCCCGCGTCGGCGCCCGACGAGAAACTCATACCTCCCGCTCCCGAGATGGCTGCCAGTGTGGCATCGTCAATTGCCGGGGTTTCCGTGGTGGGTTCGACGGCGGCTTTTCCTTCCTTTTGTGCCACGCCCAAGACTTCAATGTTCTGTGCCAGCCAGGACTGGAGTTCCTTCTTTTGCAGGTATCCGTGGGTGTTGAACCATTGTGTGAATGAGCCTTCGATCTCTCTGTCTTGCCACTTTTTGCCCGACGGCGCCTCGTAAGACACTTTGAGTTTGTAAATTGGTTTGTACTTTTGAGTCGAGGATTTTAGGGTCAACTGTATACACCACGAAACCACGAAGAGTAATCGTCAGTATCGGTATTGCGGAAAGACTTGAGGAAACGGTGGAGGAACTAAATTTGGGGGGTTTGAAGCATGTGTGTGTGTGTGTGTGTGGGAGAGCGATAAAAACAGTGGTCTAACCTTTTGTCCTCCCTCTCTCGTACCGACAAACACTGTACCAGCTTCGACAGCCCAGATCCAATAAGTCAATAGACCATTGAGGACAAAGTACGCCACGCAGGCCGGACCGGTGTATGCCTTTGTCGCGTCCCAACCTAGTTTGTAGTCGGCGTAGAAGAGTATCCCAGCTATCACGACCGCGCTGTAGCCCAGGATCAGTCGGACGTTGGTGCTGGAATGTTGTTGTTTGAACGTGTATGGTTTGGGGAGGCTCGTGAGGTACGGTGCCAACGCGTCGTCGGTGGCATTTTTGAGATCTGTGCAAAACCGAGTTAGATCTGGGATGTCTGCACTGGAAGAGATGAGTAATGATATACATACCGTTGACGGAGTAGAGGGAAACTTTTTGAGGTGGTGAGGACATCTTGGTGGTAGTGGTGATGGTGTTGGTTTCCAGTCTCGGTAGACTACTATGAAGAAAATGTCAAGTCGTCTGTAACATCTGTAAAGGTCATTGAACGCGCATTGTTTTGCCTTGTTATTTACTCTGTGGTGAATTGTTAATGTGTGTCGTTGACTCTACCTCTCATCCATTGCCAGCATCGGAGGACAGATGTTCGTTGACAGAGAAGCCGAAGTTGACCCGTTAAGTATGGAGTATTTGTTCATCTTCAGCCTTGTGGTCTCTCATCGACACATCATGTCTCTATTGACGTGATTGATGACCTACTGATATAATAACCTATCCTCAGCGTGTAGGGTATTGACTATGAGTCTGAGTTACCTCTTCGGCAGGTCTAATAGAAGAACCATTATCATTGGACATTTTATGTTCGTTCGCCCTTTGACCAAGTGCTGCCGCCTCGCCAGCCAAATGTCTGACCATGATGAACCAAACTGAATGTTCTTTTCTTAGATTAGAGCACCTAGGAGGCCAGATCGATCATCTGTGGGGAAAACCAATGGCTCTCCTAAGAACACAGATTCTGGCCCTGTCCAGCAGAGTTGACCAAATGCCTCAACTCGTACTCCCGGTTTTCTAGGTAGGATCGGACGTTGCCGACGAGGCTGCCACCGCCAAAAAAAATTCGGGGGATCAGAGCGGCACATAGTAGAATCGCCCGTCCAGTCATCATCAGTCACACCACCGTCCATCCTTGTTAAAAGCCTCACGTGTGTTCCCAACATCAGGGCGCTCATGATAATCATCTCCTGACACTTTTTTGATTTCCAAAGACTCCTACGGACTTGCCCATCATTTTTCCATACCCGCCCCCCGGGACATCATCAGTGCAACCCATCAATAGTGGTATGATTGTTACTCGGTATGTGCAAGTATGATTTCGTGCCTCGTGTATCAGACCACGATCAACATTTGAACTGGTAGGTCCAAGTACAAAAAGGTGAGCTTCAGTACTTTGCAACTCTTTCCTTGTCACTACGATATTCATCATATCAATCCGACATTGAAATACATCTTTTCGACATCTGATATATTATACATACCTGCATCGATCACCTCAAATTCCAGCAAAAACATACACCACCACCACCACCACAAATCAACAACAACCCCCAAAATCTCAAAAATCCCAAAAACCCAAAAATGAATCCTCTTGTTTGGAAGGCATCGCCAGTATCGGCATCGATGCATACACTCCAGTACGCCGGCTTCTTCACGTCGTTCCTCATCCCAGCCGGCCTCTTCTTGGGATACATGAGAGACCCGGCCAGTGTCGCCGAGGCGAGGAAAAGATCTCAACGGAGAGCACAATGGATGAAATAAAAATTTCCCTCCACAGACGAGTACTACACCAGAAATCATAAAGACGGCATTACCACCTCTCACCCGCTCTATGCTTAGCGGAGAACACTCCAGGGAGACTCTCTTGTACAGTCCGAGTCACTAGCTCATGGGATGCTTGACGCTATCGGGGCGGTGGGAAAGATGTAAAGACATACTAGACAATTTGTTATATTAGCGAACAAGTGCAGCAGGGACAGCATTGCAATGAAAGATGGCAAACGGCGCAGTTTTTGAGATTTGGTCCCAAGGTAATTGAGAGTTGCCTCTCTTACCTGGGACATGCACTTTACAATGAAATACGATGGGCTTTCGAGTCTACAATTTTACAAGACAAAAAAGAAACCCAAGTTTCTTGTTCCCCATAGTTCCGTGTCACTATCTACAGCTTGTGAATTACTCTCTGTGTTTACTTGCTGATTCCAAAATCTTAGTGATTTGTCCTCTCTTTCCCGATCCGCCCGACCGGGATCCAGAGCCAGACAACTCGCGCCGTCTCCGTGTCTGATGGTGGCTCCCTTCACAACGCAATTTCAAACATTCAATCTGACGGTCCACGAGCAGCATCGTCAAAGCCTCTCGCCAAGGCGGATCCTCGACGACATGGCCCCCTCCGCTTCAAAGTCAGGAACCTCAGGACGAGTGCTGTTTCGCCTTCTTCAACTCTCGCTTCAGCCCGCCCAGTCCGGTGGCGGCCCTGAACAAGCCGTCGGTGCAGCCCTTCCAGACGGTGTTGGCGAGGAGGACGCAGTACATCGTCGTCGCGAACGCACCCCTCCAGATCCACTTGGGCGTACCGAACCACCCGTCCAGCAAGTCCGACACCACGCGCTTCGCGTACTTTTCGCCGTCCATCACCAGGGTCCGGGCGTCCTCTCCCTTCATGTGCCTCTCGAACACCTCCCTCACGGGCCCGTAGATCGACCCCTCGGGCAGCGTGTACGTGGTCTCGAACTTGGTGACGTTGCTCTTGACGCCGCCCGTGACGAGCTCCACGACGCGGACGTCGAACGGCTCGAGCTCCACGCGCATGCAGTCCGTGAGCGTGGCGAGGGCTGCCTTTGCGCTGGCGTACGCCGTCGCGGGCGACTTCAAGGCGTGCGCCGATTGCGACGTGTGGTTCACGATGATGCCCTGAGAGTGGATGAGGTGCGGCAGGAGGATCTGGGTCAGTTCGAACTGGGGGAAGACGTTGAGCTCGAACATGCGGCGGAACTCTTCGGGCGTGGTGTCCGCGAACGGCATGACGATGTTGCCGCCGGCGTTGTTGAAGAGGATGTCGAGCTTCGTGACGCCGGAACAGAGGGTGCGGATCGACTCTGTCGACAGCAGGTCCAGCTCGCGCGTGTCGACCCCCAGCGAGGTCAGCCTGGTGAGTCGCGACAGAGAGCGCGCAGTGGCGATGACATGGAAGCCTCGTCGATGGAATTCCTTGGCCAACTCTTCACCGACGGAATCCTCAGAGCACCCCGTTATCAGGACCGTTTGTCTGGAGTCCGCCATGTTGTGTCTCGAGCAGGCTTGCAATCGAAGTACACTGGCTATTCCCCACAACCTGGAGATACAAGAGATTCTGGAAAGGGCACAAAAACTGAGTCTTACTTGCCAGGCGGGTAGACCTTCTTTTGTCCTGTACCAAAAATTGGGACGCCTGAAGATTCCGAATATGTATTCGCTTGCGAAAACTCACTTGTCAGACAGACGCGCAATCAATGAACATCAAAAGCACCAAGTCACTCGCCCTTGGAGGATGGAGACCGAGTTCAAAGATATATATTATTCCAGGTTGAGCGTGGTTGCAAGATCTGGACTATCGAGCTGGTCTACTCCGTGGTCTTCAGGGTATGACTGTGAGTTATCTTCGTATGTATTTTACCTTACCTGGGTACTCCAAAAAGGCTTTCGCCGGACACGCGGTCTCTCAGTGCACAAGAGCTCTTCCATTTCCCCGACCTGGGCAGGCATTCATTTTATACTGAAACCCTCGTCCTTGAATCCCTACCTCTCCAGAGTCGGGGCCTATGGAATACCCTGTGGGTAGTTTGCGCATGCCGAGCTACTTAGGGCAGCTAGTGCCCAAGACACAATCGTCATCCCGGAGATTTGCGCCCCGCCAACGCACCTACAGAGCCAAGTTCACGTGTGATCAGAATGCCCCCGCACTTTGAAAACTTTTTGTCCTTTGAATATTAAAGGGCTCAAAAAATCGACACATTCAGGCGGGTGGCGTGGTGTAATGGTCAGCATGTATCGTTGTGGTTATTCATCGTACAGCTCTTCTTTGGCCGTATATCATGGTGTTTCCCAGCTCCGATCCGATCCCGGTTCGATTCCGGGCGCCGCCACAGTTCTAAACGTGGTGGTGCTTCGCCTTGTTATTTTTATTGTTTTTGGTTTTTCTTCCCGTATTTTTTTGGACGTGCCTATGCTTGCCAATCCCTTTTCTGGGTCAAGCAAACGCAGGCAGTTATATAGGAGCGCGTTCCAACATTCAATATACATACGTATATATGCCGTGAAGAAAAATGACAATGCCTCTGCAGTGTTCAATGGAATTGGCAGTAGATGTATTCAAGGCAAGCCACAGACGCTCTTGACTCCTCATTTGCCACCCCCGACATGAGTTACACCGTACGGAGGATAGAACTCGTCACTAGAGAGGCTTCAAGTACCGTCAGGCTTTTGGAGTACTGCTAACAAATGTTCGGGATGACTTCAGGTAGAGTCGGGATTTTTCCGACATTGCTCACCAAAACCCTCACGCATCGGAACGGCTGTCGGCACCCGGGGATCGGTAATTCGATTCATCTCATACATCAGCCCCGATAATGACCACGGCTCCCTGAATGTCACCGCTCTCTTACCAGGATCATCACCATCTTCTGGTATGCACGTTGCAAAGGAATCAGCCGAGTAGCTGGACCCGTGGAGTGGCATCCTTGAACGATCGGATTGCGCGGGGATCGCTGGCACCGCTTGAAGTATATAATAGTCCTCTGTCCTAGAGGCATTCCGTCAGTCGTGGTCGCCGAGACGACAATGTCTAATAGCATCGAACGACTCTCGAGCATATCTAGACATCTGAGTACACCTGGTCATCCTCCGACTTCGACAAACATGATGAAACCCAGGAAGAACTTTGAGGTCGCTGTCGTTGGCGGTGGCATTGCAGGGTTGACACTAGCCATTGCACTGTACCACCGTGGCGTACCCATCACAATCTACGAACAAGCACCACAGTTTGGTGAAATAGGTGCCGGCGTGTCCTTCAGTCCCAACGCGGTCCAGGCTATGAAGGTCTGCCACGAGGGTGTGTACAGGGCGTACGAGAAGATCCGCACGAGCAATACCTGGCCGTCCAAACAAAAGGTCTGGTTTGATTATCTCAACGGCCTGGCAAATCCCCCTGAAGGCCGCAAAGGACAAGATATAGCCTTCACGATCAAGACCAAGAACGGCCAGAGCGGTGTACATCGAGCAAGGTATCTCGATGAGATGGTGCATTTGGTGCCCAAAGACATTGCTCGATTCGGCAAAAGGTTGAAAGCGGTCGAGCAAAACAGCAATGGTAGACTGGTCATGGAGTTTGAAGATGAGACATCGGCAGAAACGGATGCTATCATTGGTTGTGACGGTATCAAATCAACGGTGAGACAGATTATTGTCGGCCGAGACCACCCTTCTGCGCGTCCAGTGTATACACACAAGTATGCTTATCGGGGCCTGGCCCCGATGGACAAGGCGATCGAAGCGATCGGTGAAGAACTAGCGCAGAATTCATGCATGCATGTGAGTTATCTCCTACTCGTATTATGCTGCAAAAACCCCGCTGACTTGCCACAGATGGGCCCTGATGGCCATGTCTTGACATTTCCCGTTGACCACGGTCGAACGCTGAATATTGTTGCATTTCGAACGACTCCAGAAGAGTGGCCAGATTTCAACAAGCTCACAAGGCCTGCCAAACGGGAAGACGCCCTCCGTGACTTTGCTGAATATGGAACCAACGTCATCAGTTTGTTGAAATTGACGAAACCAGATCTTGATGTCGTAAGTAACATGAGAATATAACGTTGACATACCACCCTTGACTGACTGCATTGCAGTGGGCCATCTTTGATCTTGGAGAACATCCGGTTCCTACCATGTACAAGGGACGCATCTGCATCACGGGAGATGCTGCACATGCAACGTCCCCGCATCACGGTGCTGGCGCGGGTTTCTGCATCGAAGACAGTGCCGTCCTTGCCGAACTCCTGGCCGACGAGATTGTCCGAGAGCCTCAAGATCTGGAGGCCGTGTTCGCGACCTTCGATGCCGAAAGGAAAGACAGAGGTCAGTGGCTGGTGCAAGCCAGTCGACATATCGGCGACTGCTACGAGTGGCGAGCAAAGGGTGTCGGAAGGGACTTCGACAAAATCGAGTCGGAGATCAACAGACAGAACGCCATCATTGGAGACTTTGATGTTCCGGAAGCTTGCGAAAAGGCGAGAGCGGAGCTTCATAGAAGGCTGAAAAGCTCATAGGGTTGCCGTCAATTTTGAGACAGAGAGGACAACGACGGGGTGGTAGCATTGTGATCCAAATTCAAATTCAGTCCAAAATAGTCGAGGTCAGGGAGGTGTTGTCCAAACCAAGCATCTGATATGTCGTCAACCCCATACGTTAGAAATGGACTGAAGTTCAGTGTCGGAATGGCATCCGCATCGACGTAGTTCGCGGCGTATGCGGGCTGCATCTCGGTCTCTTGAGCACTGTTCCCCCCCTCAATGGCTCTTTGAGACGAACGAACATGAGAAGAGATATTTTTAGGGTTCAGTTGATTTTGGGATAAGGGTTGGGAGCGAGAAGCTCGAACTCTAAGCTTTTGGAGGGCCCGGATTGCTTGAGGCGCAGAGATGATTTGCTCTTCATAGTGTTTCAAAATTCGTAGGCAACGGTCCCAACTTACTTCAAAAGACTGCTCTGCATCCTGTATTTGTATATCTCCAGGACATTGCATCGCGGCGAGCAAGGTGATCATGGCCGCGAATGTGACTGCTGCATTGTCAACGCTATCCTGAGCAGACCGCCATGTTGAACGTACAATACACCGAGTGCCATCCGCTACTCTTGTATGCAGTATCAAGATGTTGGTGGATGATCTCAATTAGTCTATGTGCCATTCGAACACATAAATTGCAGCACTGGATGATTAAATGCCGATCCAGCGAGGATTCAGTGTCCATTTTGCCGAACTTGATGGATTGTGGATGGCTGTGCCGGATCGTGGAAAGCAGAAGCGGCCGTAACAAGAGCAGCCGCACATAGAGAAACCTAAGTCAAAGTGAGGACTGGACAAGCTTTCCGCTGGGGTAGAAATACCTGCAGTATAACACTTGCTGTTGCAGGTGGACGCAATTGTTCTTTTCTGACACATCCAGTGGTGATACTTCTGAGGTCTGTAAGTAGTCTGGTATCGATGTCGCAAAATTATCAAGTCGACGGTTGAGCCTCAGAACAATTTCGACTAGGTCATCGGGCTCAGAATTCGCTGTATAAAATGTCCGCAAGATCTCTGCAAGATGTTCGAAAAGCTTGCAGGATGAGACAAACAAGCCTAATCGGGAGGGAATATCCACAGGCTGAAGCCCTTCCTCCCCATCGTCGCGCAAAAATTCATCATCTATCGATAGAGGGATCGGAATATTACCGGCATCTTGAAGCATAGTCGGCCGTCCAAAGGTCATGGCAAGAAGTCTTCCTTCGTGTTAGTGGTCTCTTGCATCGCCTTTATAGATTTGCCTACCTGTCTAGCATGACACAAGTATGCCAAACACGGCGGTTCATTTCACGATCCAGCTGTGTCTCGCCTTCCCGCTCGCTATGGATATGCAGACCCAGGCTCTGTGCTACCCTGACTGCAAGTCCGACAACGTTCCAGCAGCGAGTTGCATACCTCGAAGATTGGAGATAGACGCCCTGAAGTAACAGCAACTGTACTGCAGGTAACGACGATGAGTCTAGCACATCGAAAACAAAAAGGCGCCTAGATCGCTGGTAGAAGTCGTCGGCAATTGATGATCTTTTGCTGGAGGGAATCAGTGTGCTAAATTGGCAACCTAGAGCAAAGACCAAGTTGAGCATCGATGCAAGAATACTCTGGCTGTCATCAGACTTCTCCTCAAAAGCGACGCTCGGAAGACCTGGAAGCCACAAGGCTCTGTACTGCCTCTCCAGCGACGGCCTGTGGATGATGGGGAAGACCGGATGAATGAATTCCCAGTAACACGCAAGGTAATCGTCTGCGTTGCGACGAACAGGATAGACAACAGCACTGTCGTCCATTTCGCGAACAATCTCTACGTAACCCATTGATCGTTGGTTGAGGCAGCGGTGTCTCTTCCTCGAGCTGGTGGCTTCTGAGGATGCATCCAAGGTGTGGGTTCTCTTCGCCATGTGCCGAATGAGGTTGATCGTGGAAGAGCCACCGTATAGCGCCGTGTCGCTCTCAGCGGCGACAGTCGCAACTCCATCGACATGGTGCTCCCCGTTGGTTTCGTGTTGCGACTGCTCGTCGTGAGATTCGGCTACAGCAAACGGAGTTGGTTCCGACTGGATAATGAAAGGTCCTCGACTATCCTGGACCCGAGTTCGTGATTCTGCATCCTGTTTTTGGAGGTCAAGCAGAGGGCGCTCAAAAATACACGTGGACCCAACTCGTCGTTTGTCACACGCAAGGCAGACTGGCAGTCTGCCATCACAACGGGTCTTCCGAGAGCGGCAGTTATTGCAAGCCAGTGAGATCTTGGATCGTTTACGTCGGGTTGATGGTGACGGTGCTTCTGGGGCAGTAAACACTGTGGTATTGCTCCGTGTCGGATTGTTTGTCACCTCGAGTTGAGACATGGAGCTTAATCGTCGATCTTGGAATGCTGGTCGCATCAGAGGAAGTGAAGCACAATATGAAGTGGGAAATCCGGGGAAGTCAAGACCAAAGGAGGATTGGTTTAACCAGTAATTCTTCAGGGAAGTCATTTATTTGACTTAACTATTAACTAGCCCGTCTAGGCAAAGCTTCCGGCGCCTCTATCGCCTAAATGTGTTTAATGATCCTCTGAATTCTGCTTCCCTAAGTACACTAACCCTTTAGATGGACCTTAGTCGCTTTGGCGACCTCTTAACTTACTCCCTACTCAAACGTCCAACTCCAGGTATTTTCCATAACGACACTGATAACATTTACTCTGTCGCCCCGCGACCCTATCGCTGTCTTTCAATGATCGCCAGAACACTACTTTAGTCATGGCTGTAGGTGCTACGGTACCATTCGTGTCATCACCCCTCTCCTCTCCGCCGCCAAACC